CCGTCGGGGAGGGCCGCGGCCGGCCCGCAGGCCCTCCTCAGGTGCTCGAGAACGCCAGGAAGGCCAGCGAGCTCGAGAGCTGTCGATCCCACGCGACCATCTCTTGGAAGTTGACGAATTTATCGACAGACAGATAAAAAAATGCACACAACAGCGATGAGTTGAATGAACTCGCCAAAATTGTGGAATGGTTTATCAGCCAGGGTTATGCTGGGGCATGATACTCTGGCTGATCTGTTGTCACGTGACCAGACGACACTGGAGGGGGGCCACCGGTGGACGGGAGCCGAGGGGCGGTCACGTGGTCCCGGAGAGCTCTTGGGAATGTTCGAGAAGGGGCCCGAAGAGCCTGGAAGGTGGGCGGGGCTAAGGGCGGAGCCAGCCCCAGCCCGGGAGCATATAACGAGAGCTCCATGAGGAGCTCGGGGTTCTTCAAGTTTTGGTGTTCGAAGATCCACGTCAGGGAGAAGCCTCTAGCCACGCGGTCCGGGACCCAGCTTGTGGTCTGGACCGGGATAGCGAACCGTGTCTAGTTCTGCCGTAGCGTGGCTGGATGGGCATTTGAGCCCCGAGCATAGATTTTGTTATGTTGGCGCTGTTGTGTTAATAAATAGTGTTGCTCCAAAGTTAACGTCTGCGACTCAGTTGGACTCGCTACACATTTACAGTTTGAGCATCGTGACGTTTCGCTGGCGATTATAACCAGCTACGGGGTGTTTGGTGGGTTTAACTACACATTTATATTTACGCGATCTAACAACGGCACATGCCACCAAATGTCGCGACGTCATGCGCGAAACAACACGTGGGACGATGCCGAACACGCAGCAAAAAGCGAGTGACGACTTAGCGATAGTCACCAGGCCCTACAGAGTTGGGCACTCGAGTGAGTCCAGCAATTTGAAGAGGCAGATGAACCCGTCGTGCTCTCACTGGGTGTCGCGTTCCTCCACCCTTCTGTGAAGTTATGGTTAAGGGTTAAGAGTTAAGAGTTATGGTTAGGGGTTAGGGATTGGGTTATGGTTAGGGGTTAGAGTTAAGAGTTATGGTTAGGGGTTAGGGATTGGGTTATGGTTAGGGGTTAGAGTTAAGGTTAGGGGTTAGAGTTAAGAGTTATGTTAGGGGATGCTGCTAATCCTGCATAATGCACGGGCATAATTAGTACTAATCACATACCTGCATTTCCCATATCCCCTCCCTTTGATGCTGCTAATCCTGCATAATGCACGGGCATAAGAAGTACTAATCACATACCTGCATTTCCCATATCCCCTCCCTTTGATGTTGCTAATCCTGTATAATGCACGGGCATAAGTGGTACTAATCACATACCTGCATTTCCCATAAATATGCTAAATTCCTCTTGATATGCAAATTATTTTGTCAAGGCGCCCTTTCCCCCCTTCCAACCCAACTTAAATATACACTCCAAGCCTGGGGTGTGTCATTCAGACTCTGTCTCCCCGACAGACCTGTTCTTCACCTGAGGACGGCTGCTTGCGTTGTGGCCGAAACGTCGTGAGAATTATTTTATTATGTTTTATTTTTATTATTTTATTATTTCAATTCTACGTGACTTTACCGAAAGAACCAAGAAGATGAATCCCTACAGTCACGAAAGCTTTAAATCTAAACTTATAGACACTTCTACACTCCATCATTGTATCCTTTTAAACCCTATCTCTGTCCCATAACTTCACCAGCACTCCTTCCAAACTTCATTCTGCTCTTAAATATAACACCATCTGCGAGCTGCTGATATTCGTCCAAGGTTCGTCGCTCTTCATCCTTTCACAGAAAATACCTGTGCAAACTATTAATTCTGCTTTTCTTATTTCTGGGTGGTATTGAGCTTCATCCTGGCCCAAATGTAAAAATCTCGTATTATCCTGTAGATTTTTCTGGCAGAAAAGGTGTTGGTGTTCTACATGTCAACATCAGAGGGCTTATGATTAAATTAAGTCAACTAAAACTAGAAGTGGCAAATCTTGACCCGGACATTGTTTGCCTAACAGAAACATTTCTCACTCCTGCCGTCAATGACTTGCAGATTACGATTAACAACTACAACCTTTTTCGGCTTGACCGAGGATCTAAAGGAGGTGGAATTGCCATCTATGTTCGTAATACTATTGCATGTTCACCAGCTCACTCCTTGTTTAAAAAATGTTGCCTTGAAGGTCTGGCTCTCAGAATAACTCTCCCTAAAAATAAAAGATCTTAGTAGTGTGCTGCTATAGACCGCCAAGTGGGAAAGATGTTGAAGCTGCATCTGCAATGAGAGAGCTTCTTGGGGGCCTCCCTAAAGGTGAAATAGTTTTAGTGGGTGATCTAAATTGGAATTGGCTAAACCCGCCAGCCGTGAAAAAAATTTTGCAGATGAATTTAACCTGTTTAAATCAATAAATGTCCCGACAAGACACAACCTAGAAAAACCGGGACAGTCATCTCTGCTTGACGTCCTATTGACAAATGCCCCTCAGAATTTCGCACTGACTGGTGTTCTGGGTAATAACCTTAGTGATCACTCCTTCATTTTTGGGGTGAGATCATCAGCCAGACCCAAAGCCCTCCCTAAATTGGTTGAGAAGCACTCCATGAGACACTTCAGCACTCAGGCATTTACTAATAATGTGCTTCACTCGGATATTGACAAGGTCTGTGATATCCCAAACCTGACTACGGCTTGGGAGACCTTCAGGTACACGTTTCTCCAAATTCTTAACAAACATGCTCCATTGGTTAGATTTAAAACTAAAGGCAACCGTCCACCATGGTTTGATTTTTTGATTACAAAGATCATGAAAACTAGGGACAAGGCTTGGGCATGTGCTCAGAAAATAATTTGGTCAATGACTGGCTAGAATACAGGATTTTAAGGAATAGAAACGTAAAAAAAATACGGCATGCAAAAAATGCCTACTTTTCTTCCACTCTCCTGGAATCACATGGACATGCCAGGATCTTCTGGAAAACAATCAAATGTATCGAAAAGGCATCCAAAACAGATAATCTGCCCGTTGAGCTTAACCGAAATGGGGAATATTTTTCAGATCCTAAAAAAATAGTTGACAATTTTAACCTTCATTTTTCTGAAGCTGGTACCCTATTTGTAATGTATTGGGAGTCACCGCTGCTCATGCAAATTCCTACACCCCTGTCCAAACATTAAACGAATTTAGTTTTCAGCCAATCCACGAAAGTAATGTTCTGAAACAACTGTCCTACCTCAAAGGGTCCTCCTCTACCGGAGCGGATAGTTTTTCCTTTTCATATTCTTAGGTGTTTTCGGTAAAGTCACGTAGGTAAAACATCAAAATTAATAAAATAATAAAATAAAGATCACGACGTTTCGGAGGCAACACAAGTCTCCGTCATCAGGTGGGACAGTCACAGCCAGATCAGCTGCATCAATGATCACTTGATGCAGCTTTTGTTTTTGTTTGTTGCGGTTGCACCCGATTCACAGGGCTACACCTAATAAATTAACTTGACTCGGCCTCAAACGAGTACCCGGTGCGGTGTGTAGTGAACATCGCCACTAGGGAGACAAAGGCGGCCGGGTGTGGGGCTGGCCACCCACCCCCTCGTGTGCCGTCCCACCCATAATAGGTGCTCGCTAACAGCACTTGCCCCTACAGTCTGTTAAGGCTATACGGGGGATCTTTGTCTTTGTGTTAGGTTCAAACTTAATTTGTGTTAGATGCTCGCCAACAGCACTTGCCCCAACATTCTGTCTAGGCTATACGGGCGATCTTTGTCTTTGTGTGTTGGGAGCAAGTTTGAGTGGCATGTAATCGTGGGAGTTGAACGGGCGCGTGCTGCTACTGACAGTCGTTGACAACGGTTGGATAGACGCTGATAGACAGACAGACACACACAGACAGACAAGACAGGCGAACAGACACAGACAAGAGGAACAGAGACGGAGAAAGATACACAGAGACAGAGAGACACAGGCAGAGACACACACAGAGGCGAACAGAGAGATGTTCAATCGAACACACTGAACTCGCTCCATTGAAAGAGATTCCTCGATCTTTGCCCATCCCTAGAAGTCGTTCTAGTTTCTATTTATTTCATTGTGTGTAGTGTGTACGTGCAAGCAATGTGGGATATCGATGTACACGGATATGAACAAGATCAGCAGACAAGACGTCTTTCATACTCTTTGGTTCTTTCGGTAAAGCCGTGGTAAAGTGACGTAGGTAGAAAAAAGAAAGTAAAAAAATAAATCACGTTTCGATCACAACACGAGCAGTCGTCCTCAGGCGAAAACATCCAGACATTGTCGTGGCAAAATTCACATGAGCTACAGCTGAGCATTGTTTTAATACGGTGGGCTCACGCGAAATTGATTCTGGAAGACGAAGGTACTTTGAAAACCCACTGGCGATACTTTTATATAAGCGCACAACTTCATCTATCTGTGATGAACCCTGCACTTTCCGTTGTTTTCATGCAGGGGGCGCTGCAAACCTACTCGCCCCCTGCATGAACGACGGAGACGCAGGGACAGACGTCCGATCGCGTTGGAATCCATCTGCAGACGGCGGTCTTCTGGCACGGCCAGCTCTATGTCGCCTTATCTCCACCCCACGATCACAACCAGGTGAAAGTCCGCATCGAACCGCATCCCCGGCAAGGCCATCTACTTAACGACTAAATGTCGTTTTCAATGAAGTCTTCCAGATGTAAAATGATAACAGGACCCTGTGGGGTGGGCTGGTAGGACCGAATTGAATGGCTATAATAAAATGAAAAGGCAAAAAATGGCCGCCAATAAGTGGATGCCCCGTGGCCCCGCCCTCCACCCGCGTAACCCCGCCCTGGCCACCCGTGGCCCCGCCCCATCTCGGTGTCCCCGCCCCCAGCTCGCTGCCCCGCCCCTTACCGCCGTAACCCCGCCCCAACCCCGCGTAGCCCCGCCCTCCACCTCGTGTCCATGCCCCCTGCCGCCGTTGCCCCGCCCAGCCCCGCGTAGCCCCACCACCTGCCGCTGTAGCCCCGCCCAATACACCCCCAGCGGGGGAGAGATTCCCAGGCCTGGCTCGGCTGGAGAGCCACTGACGAGGGGGAGGTAGGGAGTTGTTTTTAATGTAAAAGCTTTAAATTTAAATGTTTCTATTAAAAAAACATCAGGGAATGTAACATTGTTAAACATTAATTCCCTTTCACACACACGGGGGAACTATACGAAGGGAGAGCTTGAGGCCTAGGTCTAGGCTTTAGGCCTAGCTGTAGGCCTTAGGCCGCCGTGAGTTAATTGTTAATATAAATGTTTTAATTATTTATGTAAAAGCTTTAAATGTAAATGTTGCTATTTAAAAACATCAGGGAATGTAACATTGTTAAACATTAACTAACCTTTCACACACGCGGGGGTACGATACGAAGGGAGAGCTTGAGGCCTAGGTCTAGGCTTTAGGCCTAGCTGTAGGCCTTAGACCGCCGTGAGTTAATTGTTAATATAAATGTTTTAATTATTTATGTAAAAGCTTTAAATGTAAATGTTTATATTTAAAAACATCAGGGAATGTAACATTGTTAATTAACTCCCTTTCACACATGCGGGGGTACGATACGAAGGGAGAGTTTCAGGCCTAGGTCTCGGTTTTTGTAGGGTCATGCCAAGTGTTTGCAGTAGGGGGCAATGTTGCTACACGGACGGACAGACGAACGGACGGACGAACTAATCTATTGGTGTCTGGTCCACTTCGTTCCAACCAGTATAAGCTTTTAATGAATAAATAAAATTATCAAAAGGTAATAGAATTCAAAGTTGTTTCATTTTAAAACTTCAAAACTAAGCATCGGGAGTTTGCGTGGATGCGTCGTTCGTGCGCAATTTTTTTCGTGACTTTCCTGGCCCAAGGCCGTAAATGGTTGTGAGGGGGCTGTAGGCGGTCCGGTTTGCTTCAATCCATGGTTGTGAACATCCAGACGTTAATCAGCAAGAACCATTTCTAGTCCTAGTTAGACAAAATCTACAGCAACACAATACAAAATTATAATTCGTGTTGTAGAGAATGTACCTCCTCTACGTGTAACTTTAGAGTGGTATGTCTTGCAACTGATGAATGATCCGATTGTACTCCCTATTTCAAAGACAATGAGTTGCTCCAGAGGAAGCTACTTCCTGAAAAAACAAACATACCCTTTGACCTGTATCACAAGAACGAGTCTCATCTGAGTGATCTGTACAGGTTACTTCCAAAACACACACTTTGTCCTAACATGACGTATTCAATGTTTGATCCTTATAGACAAAATGTTGCATGTACACACACAATCAGACAAGTATTCATTCTAAATTATTGAGTAATTTTAACAAAATTGAATTACTGCACTGAAATATGCTGCATCAGGTGACATCGCATTAACAAGCTTTCAAAAAAAATACCACCATCTGCTTAACAGTGTATGTACAACATACTATTGTGCCATTCAATACGAGTAGGTCATTGCATGTTGGCGTCACGGTAAAAATTTAGCAAATTACAAACTCCACAACTGAGATGCCACATCAACCATCGCCCCCTACTGACAGGCTCTTGTCCACATGCAGGCCGGTGCAGGGCCACCACCTTGTGCCACACAGGGGCAGCTGCTACTTGGGGATGCTCTTCGAGTGTTTGAGACGAGAAACGATACAAAACTACGAATTGCCGAGGCGATTAAGCAGGCACCATTTTAATGCAATTATTAGAACGTAGTGAATGCTTGGGAGCTTATTGGGGTCCACAAAGACTGGCCGCTCTTACCCTGCAGGTTAAACCTAGCAATTGAGTGTTCAACTTCATTCTTGTCATTAAAGGCCTGTGGACAAAGGTGCATCTATTAGAGCGACATCGTCTCAGGCTTACACATCTACCGGGTCTCCATTTGACTTTGTATTGTCTCGGAGGAAGTCCACCCACACCTCCACTTCCACAAACTGCTGGGAGTTGCCTCGCTCTGCCTCACAGTCAGAATTCTCCTCCTGCTTCACGTTGCCTCCATCGATGTGAAGGTCCGATTTTGGAGTTGAATCTTCATCTTCACATTTTACCTTCACTTCTTCGCTCTTCACCATCACTTTTTCACATTTCACCTTCACATCATCATGTTTCACCTCGATACCTTTCAAAGTATACAAGCTGGAATTTTCTTCCGGTTCTTCTTTGATGAGGGATGGGCTCATTGCGGCACCTTGACTTTCACAAGCTGATTTTAAACTCCACTCCTTGTGGATCTTCTGATGCTTGTGAGTTCTCTGGTGTCTTTGAACATTTGATGAACGTGCAAACGCCTTCCCGCACACACTGCACCTGAAGGGTTTCTCTCCCGTGTGTGTTCTCTGGTGTACATGAAGAGTAGATGAATCTGAAAACGCCTTCCCACACACACTGCACTTGAAGGGTTTCTCTCCTGTGTGAGTTCTCTGGTGTATTACAAGAGTAGATGACTGTGAAAACGCCTTCCCACAAACACTGCACTTGAAGGGTTTCTCTCCCGTGTGTGTTCTCTGGTGTATTACAAGAGTAGATGAATCTGAAAACGCCTTACCACACACACTGCACTTGAAGGGTTTCTCTCCTGTGTGTGTTATCTGGTGTTTTTTAAGAGCAAATGGATGTGAAAATGCCTTCCCACACACAGTGCACTTGAAGGGTTTCTCTCCCGTGTGTGTTCTCTGGTGTTTTTTAAGATGAAATGGATGTAAAAATGCCTTCCCACACACAGTGCACTTGAAGGGTTTCTCTCCCGTGTGTGTTCTCTGGTGTACTACAAGAGTAGATGAACGTGTAAATGCCTTCCCACACACACTGCACTTGAAGGGTTTCTCTCCCGTGTGTGTTCTCTGGTGTACATGAAGAGAAGATGAATCTGAAAACGCCTTCCCGCACGGAGTGCACTTGAAGGGTTTCTCTCCTGTGTGTGTTCTCTTGTGTGTTACAAGAGTAGATGAACGTGCAAACGCCTTCCCACACACACTGCACTTGAAGGGTTTCTCTCCTGTGTGTGTTCTCTGGTGTTTTTTTAAAGCAGATGACCATGCAAATTCCTTCCCACAAACAGTGCACTTGAAGGGTTTCTCTCCTGTGTGAATTCTCTGGTGCCGTGCTAAATGTGCAGGACGATCCGTGCTGAATGCACACCGGTCACATTGTTGCCTTGTCGCACCAAGCTGCGCTGAGTGCCTTTGCTCCATCAGACAAATTATGCAGAGGCAGCGACAGCTGCAGACAGAAAAAAATATCCACACCATCTACACATCAGTATCAATGCATATATACAGTCACACGTGACTTCCACGTTTATACTTATTCATATATTCATGATATAGTGAAAAAGTGTCACAAATTCATCACACGGGCTGTTATGGCACAAAATGAGAGGACGAATGGTCATAAGCATGCCTGGAAGCCCTCGTATCTTCAAAATGAATGTTAACCCAAAACTCCGAGCACACAATTTTGGCTGTCTAGCAACAAAAGGAATATTTATGAAAGCTAAATTTAGCTGACATAGCAAAAGGTGTTGAAAATAATACTATTTGTGTTATGCAAAAATGCATAAATTAATGTTCAATCGCAACTTAGAGGTGTGAAGCCAGCCAGGCTCACGATGTCCTTGAATGCTGAACAGATCTGACTTCAGCTGCATATGTGTGCTGTGTTAACTTCTTGACTGTTTCCATTCTTACAAAGTTCCAGAGGAAAACAAAAACAAACTATTGTTGTGATAACCTCCGTGTTCAATAGAGTTAATAGACTTTACTGCAAACACAAACTTTACACTGTCACACACTGGCATGGTTAACAGGTGGTGGTGTGTCCAGACCCATGCCTGGCCACCTTCACCTGCTCAGTATTAATGCTTCCTCACTCCACCAAGTAATTCATCGAGGATCAACCAACACAGCCGAGGCTGCGTGTCTCTCTGTGGTGAGATGTTAACTACCTCTCCTGGCATACAGGAAGTCGTGGGTTCGATCCCGACCCTGACGCCTGCTGTATATTTGGAGTTTACGTGTCTCTCTCTCCCCGTGGCCGCGTGGATTTCCCTCCGGATCCCCCGGTTGTCCCCACTCCACATGCAGAGAGTGAACACCACCACGCGTATAGAATGAACACCACCACGTGTCTAGAGCGAACACCGCCACGTGTCTAGAGTGAACATCGCCACGCGTCTAGAGTGAACACCGCCACGCGTCTAGAGTGAACACCGCCACGCGTCTAGAGTGAACACCGCCACGCGTCTAGAGTGAACACCGCCACGCGTCTAGAGTGAACACCGCCACGCGTCTAGAGTGAACACCGCCACGCGTCTAGAGTGAACACCGCCACGCGTCTAGAGTGAACACCGCCACGCGTCTAGAGTGAACACCGCCACGCGTCTAGAGTGAACACCGCCACGCGTCTAGAGTGAACACCGCCACGCGTCTAGAGTGAACACCGCCACGCGTCTAGAGTGAACACCGCCACGCGTCTAGAGTGAACACCGCCACGCGTCTAGAGTGAACACCGCCACGTGTCTAGAGTGAACACCGCCACGCGTCTAGAGTGAACACCGCCACACATCTAGAGTGAACACCGCCACGCGTCTAGAGTGAACACCGCCACGTGTCTAGAGTGAACACCGCCACGCATCTAGAGTGAACACCGCCACGTGTCTAGAGTGAACACCGCCACGCTGTTGACGAGCCTCACCTTGTTGTTGTTGTTGTGGGCAGGTAGCTTGTGAAAACAAGAGCGGTATAGCAACTCAAGCGGGCGTGGCCTGGCAAAAATAAATATGGTGTTAATATTGAATATTTAAACAAAGTTACAAAGTGGCGATCCGGGTCAAGACAAATTCAACTTAAGCGAGAGAATTGAAGCGAACGCGACCAGGCGAGGGCAGGAGGCAAGGCCCGCGTTGTAAAGTTCCAACGTGGAGATCGCTTCCATGCTCGCTGCTACTCAATTGACATCCCTACGAGAGAGAAAGCGAGGCTCTACCTCAGTACACAACCACAACAACAACCACCACAACCACCACCACCACAACAACAACAACCACCACCACAACAACCACAATCACCACAACAACCGCGATGAGAATTTCTCACCTCGGATTTCAGTTCACGGGCGGAGCGGCAACTTCCTGGTCCCTCGCGACGTCACGCGGCAGCAGGTGACATGACGTCACTTGCGGGGTACGATGACACTCCCCTCCACAGCTCGCTACGGCTTTTACGAATAAATTATGTTAATGAGCCGCCAGTTACCGGGCGTGGCTTTGCCCAAATAAGGATTAGCACTGGGACAGGTATCGGCAGCGGCCGAGTGGATGTGATGTCACGATCAAGAGCGCTGTGGTCGGGGGGTGAGTGACATGACGTCACTAACGATGCACACCTCCCTCTGGCGTTTGACGCCGATGAGGTCACGCTGAGCGGTGACGTCAGAGGGCGGGGTCAGAGTTCAAGTTTGTTGACAGAAGGGGAGCGGCAGTGTCGTGGTGAGCGCTGCGCTCCGCACCGACCAGCCGAGTTCCATTCCCGCTCGTGGCCAACACCGCCAGTGACGACTTTCTGAGCCGGTCCTGAGCCTCCCCTACGTCGACTCAGCCTCAAACGAGTACCCGGTGCGGTGTCAACATCGCCACTGGGGAGACAAAGGCGGCCGGGCGTGGTGCTGGCCACCCACCCCCTCGTGTGCCGTCCCACCCTTCATAGGTGCTCGCTAACAGCACTTGCCCCTACAGTCTGTGCAGGCTATACGGGGGATCTTTGTCTTTGTGTGTTGGGAGCAAGTTTGAGTGGCGTGTAGCCGTGGGAGTTGAACGGGCGCCTGCTGCTACTGACAGTCGTTGACTGCGGTTGGACAGACGCTGATAGACACAGACAAGACAGGCGGACAGACACAGACAAGAAGAACACAGAGACAGAGAAAGATACGCAGAGACGACATCGACAGAGAGACACAGGCAGAGAGACAGGCAGAGAGACACACAGAGGCAAACAGAGAGACAGACGGACAGAGATGTTGAATCGAACTCACTGAACTCGAATCATTGAAAGTTTCCTCGATCTTTGCCCATCCCCGGAAGTTGTTCTAGTTTATATTTATTTCCCTGTGTGTGGTGTGTAGTGTAAGCAATGTGGGATATCAGTGTACACAGTTATGAACAAGATCAGCAGACAAGACGTCTTTCATTTATCAGTCTCTGCGCGAAACAAAGGAATGTTTTACACAAAATATAATAACTACTGCAGCATTCAGTGCAAGTCAACTGTGGACCGGTTTTGGTGTACAATTTATACGTAAATATATAAGCGCACGACTTCATTTGTCGGTGACGAACGCTGCACTTTCCATCGCTTTCATGCAGGGGGCGCTGCAAACCTACGCGCCCCCTGCATGAACGACGGAGGCGCAGGGATAGACGTTCGATCGCGTTGGAATCGATCTGCAGACGGCGGTCTTCTCCCAACCAGGTGAAAGTCCGCATCAAACAGAATCCCCAGCAAGGCCATCTACTTCACGACTAGAGAAAATTCACACGAAATGTAGTTTTCAATGAAGGCTTCCAGATGTAAAATATAAGCTTTTAATGAAGTACAATTATCTAATTCAAAAACAATATACAATTCAAAGTTGTTTCATTTTAAAACTTCAAAACGGAGCATCGGGAGTTTTCGTGGATGCGTCGTTCATGTGCAATTTTCTTCGTGACTTTCCTGGCCCAAGGCCGTAAATGGTTGTGAGGGGCACCGCAGGCAGTCAGGCTTGCTTCAACCCCATGGTTGTCAACATCCAGACGTTAATCGGCAAGGACCATTTCTTGTCCTAGTTCGCCAACATATAAGACGTCATGTAAAATTCTAATGAGTTGTTGTGGAGAATGCATCTACTAGATGTGCTCTGCCTTGTAACCAAATACAAATCTGTACCAAAAATGCATTTCAAATGTGCTCTTAAAATTACATCCTTGCTATGAAGCAGATCAGCAGACACGACATCTTTCATTTATCGATCTCTCCACGAAACAATGGAATGTTTTACACAAACTATAACTAGCACAGCCTTCTGGGAGTGGATCAATGATTCAGTGCAAGCCACCTGTGGACCCTTATTGGTGCACAGCATCTCAAGAGCAGCCGGGCTTGCTTCAATCGATAGCTTCAAACATCCAGACGTTATTCTTAGGTTTTTTCGGTAAAGTCACGTAGGTAAAAACATTAAAAAGTAAAATAAAATAAAAATCACGTTTCGGAGGCAACACAAGCTTCCGTCTTCAGGTGGTACCGTCACAGCCACGACAGCTGTATCAAGTAAATGAGAGATTGCAGGAGCTACCACTCCGTTTATATAATGGTTGGAGAAGGTGGTGGGGCAAGGGCCGCATACTTATTATTAATATGGTAAGGTGAGGCTTGAGATTAAGAATAGACTGCATAACAATTGTATTTTCCGAGACCAAAGTTCTCTGCAAACCTCCTGGCTACCATCAAAGGTTTGTACACGAAGCCATACAAATATACAAACACAGACATAATTTCAACCGTGATGACGGTTACAAACTGAGTAATCATTGGAAAGATGTGATTAACCATGCAAAAAAGATTTAACTACACTTATTTGCCAATCTTATTTGACTGACAACCATTACTGTTTTACCATGTTTAGTGGTGGTCTCCCTGTTACAGGTTGAGTCACAAATCGCACCTCTCCATAACAAAGGCTCAGCCTTTGTTATGCTGTCTATTCTTAGTCTCAAGCCTCACCTTACCATATTAATAATACGTATGCGGCCCTTGCCCCACCACCTTCTCCAACCATTATATAAACGGAGTGGTAGCTCCTGCAATCTCTCATTTACTTGATACAGCTGTCGTGACTGTGACGGTACCACCTGAAGACGGAAGCTTGTGTTGCCTCTGAAACGTCGTGATTTTATTTTATTTTACTTATTAATGTTTTTACCTACGTGACTTTACCGAAAAAAACCTAAGAATATGAATCATTGCAGTCACGAAAGCTTCAAATCTAGAATCCAGACGTTAATCAGCAAGGATCATTTCTCATCCTAATTCGACAAAATCTACGTCAACACATAATACAAAATTATAATTCAAGTTGTAGAGAATGTATCTCCACTACGTGTAACTTTTGAGTGGTATGCCTTTTAACTGATGAATGATCCGAGTGTGCTCCCTATTTCAAAGACAATTAGTTGCTCCAAAGGCAGACGCTTCCTGAAAACACAAAAGTACCCTTTGACCTGTATCACAAGAACTATGAGTCTTACCTGAGTTATCTGTACAGGTTACTTGCAAAACACACACTGTGTCCTAACATGACTCATTCAATGTTTGACCCTTGTAGACAAAAGGTTACATGTACGCACACCATCAGACAAGTATTCATTCTAAATTCGTGACAGGCATATTAACAAAATTGAATTATTGCACTGAAATATTAGGTTACATCCTATTAACAAAAAGCTAACGAAAAAAAATACGCACCGTCTGCTTATAAGTGTATGTACAACATACTAATGCACCATTCAAAACGAGTCGGCCATTGCATGCTGGCATCTGGGTAAAAATGTAGCAAGTTCTAAACATTACCTACAAACTCCACAACTGAGATACCACATCAACCATCGCCCCCTACTGACAGGCTCTTGTCCACATGCAGACCGGTAAAGGGATACCACCTTGTGCCACACAGGGGCAGCTGCTACTTGGGGATGCTCTTGGAGTGTTTAAGACGAGATACGATGAAAACTCCGAATTGCTGAGGCAATTAAGCAAGCACAATATAAATGCAATTGATAACAGTGAATGCTTGGGAGCATATTGGCATTCGCTCCTGGTTAGAGATCTACCCAACACACAGGTCCATAAAGACTGGCCGCTCTTACCCTGCAGGTTGAACCTAGGAACTGAGTGTTCAACTTCACATTCTTGTCATTAAAGGCCTGTGACAAGGGTGCATCTATTGGAGCTGCATCGTCTAAGGCAGTGGTTCTTAACCTTGTTGGAGGTACTAAACCCCACCAGTTTCATATGCACATTCACCGAACCCTTCTTAATTGGAAAAATAAAATATTTTTTTAAATTCAAAACATAGGTACATGTTTTACTGGTGCACAATCATATGAGTCAGGTGTGTCTTAACCTCCGCCAAACCCCTGAGACTGACTCACCGAACCCCTGGGGTTCGATCGAACCCAGGTTAAGAACCACTGGTCTAAGGCTTACGCATCTCCCGGGTTTCCATTTGACTTTGTATTGTCTCGGAGGAAGTCCACCCACACCTCCACTTCCACAAACTGCTGTGAGTTGTCTCGCTCTGCCTCACAGTCAGAATTCTCCTCCTGCTTCACGTTGTCTCCATCGATGCGAAGGTCCGATTTTGGAGTTGAATCTTCATCTTCACATTTTACCTTCACTTCTTGGCTCTTCACCATCACGTCTTCACATTTCACCTCGTTACCTTTAAAAGTGTCCAAGCTGGGATTTTCTTCCCGTTCTTGTTTGATGAGGGATGGGCTCATTGCAGCACTTTGACTTTCACAAGCTGATTTCACACTCCACTCCTGGTGGATCTTCTGATGCTTGTGTGTTCTCTGGTGTCTTTGAAGATGTGGTGACCATGCAAACGCCTTCCCACACACACTGCACTTGAAGGGTTTTTCTCCCGTGTGTGTTCTCTGGTGTCCTACAAGAGTAGATGAATCTGAAAACGCATTCCCACACACACTGCACTTGAAGGGTTTCTCTCCCGTGTGTGTTCTCTGGTGTCTGACAAGAGAAGATTGTGCAAACGCCTTCCCACACACACTGCACTTGAAGGGTTTTTCTCCCGTGTGTGTTCTCTGGTGTTTTACAAGATGAGCTGAACGTGCAAACGCCTTCCCACACACACTGCACTTGAAGGGTTTCTCTCCCGTGTGTGTTCTCTTGTGTTTTACAAGAGTAGATGAATCTGAAAATGCCTTCCCACACACACTGCACTTGAAGGGTTTCTCTCCCGTGTGTGTTCTCTTGTGTGTTACAAGAGCAGATGAATCTGAAAACGCCTTCCCACACACACTGCACTTGAAGGGTTTCTCTCCCGTGTGTGTTCTCTGGTGTGCTACAAGAGTAGATGGCTGTGCAAACGCCTTCCCACACACACTGCACTTGAAGGGTTTCTCTCCCATGTGTGTTCTCTGGTGTGCTACAAGATTAGATGACTGTGCAAACGCCTTCCCACACACACTGCACTTGAAGGGTTTCTCTCCTGTGTGTGTTCTCTGGTGTGCTACAAGATGAGCTGAACATGCAAATACCCTCCCACACACACTGCACATGAAGGGTTTCTCTCCCGTGTGTGTTCTCTTGTGTGTTACAAGAGCAGATGAAAATGCAAACGCCCTCCCACACACACTGCACTTGAAGGGTTTCTCTCCCGTGTGTGTTCTCTTGTGTGTTACAAGAGCAGATGACTGTGCAAACGCCTTCCCACACACACTGCACTTGAAGGGTTTCTCTCCCGTGTGTATTCTCTTGTGTGTTACAAGAGTAGCTAAACGTGCAAACGCCCTCCCACACACACTGCACTTGAAGGGTTTCTCTCCTGTGTGAGTTCTCTGGTGCCGTGTCAAATGTGCAGGACAATCCGTACTGTATGCACACCGGTCGCATTGTTGCCTTTTTGCACCGAGCTGCACCGACTGCCTTTGCTCCATGAGACCACTTCTGCAGAGGCAGCGACAGCTGCAGACAGAAACAAAGAATATCCACACCATCTACACATCAGTATCGAGGCACAGAGGAATGCATATATACACAGTCACACGTGACTTACACGTCTATAGTTATTCATATATTTATGATATAATAAAAAAAAGTGTCCCAAATTCATCACACGGGCTGTTATGGCACACAATGAGAGGCCAAATGGTCATAAACATGCCTGGAAGCCCTCGTATCCTCAAAATGAACGTTAACCCAAAACTCAGAGCACACAATTTCAGCTGTCTGGCTTCTAAATAAATGTTTATGAAAGCTAAATTCAGCTGACATAGCAAAGGGTGTTGAAAATAATACTATTTGTGTTATGCACAAATGCATAAATTAATGTTCAAACACAACTTAGAGGTGTGAAGCCAGGCACAGATGTCCTTGATTGCTGGGATGAGCAGTTCCGACTTCAGCTGCTGCACGTGTGTGCAGTGATCACTTCCTGACTCCATTCTTACAAAGAGTTCCAGAGGAAAACTAAAATAAACTACTGTTTTGATATAACCTCTGTGCTCAAGAGTTAATAGACTTTACTGCAAAATACAAACTTGACAATGTCACACACTCAGAGGTGGAGCCAGGATTTTCAGGTAGGGGGGGGAAACCCCTCCAGCAATGAAAAATTATAGGAGTTGTTAGTAAGTAAGGAGTTGTTAGTAAGAAAGGACTTGTCCCTTGCTTTTCATTCGACGCGTGTGATCGTCATCGCGCTCGCTGAACGTGTTGATGCCTTCAGGAAAGAAAAATAGACTTTTGTATTTGGGGGGGGGGGGGGGGGGGAAATGACCATGACGTATGTGGCATCAACCCGCATCACACCTGAGCTAAGCGCTCTGCAATGCTTACCCCCCTACCACATGGCTCTTCGCGCACCGTACTTCTACAGCTGTTCACAACGTGCCAGGAGATTTTAGGTGGCGCTTCGCTCCTGGCCGATTAAGTCATTGGCTTCTTGGAGTTTCAATACAAATCCGTGTGCAGAACGAGTACAACTGCCATCTTAAATATAAAGCAAAACTTACATGTTTATTTGTGTGAAGCAGCAAAAAGTCTCCAACGCTGAGCTCTGGCGAAATGAAATATTCACAGCTTATGCTGTCTGGAATTTCTAAGCGAACGCCACGTCATTCCCTTCCCGAGTGGCAAAACTCGACCTGACGTAGCAGTGGGTTCAGGTTGAATTTCCTTGAGTGAAAACATCCGATTTAGGTAAATTGAAGTGTTTCGGCTTTCTTCTTGCAAGCATCAATTTTTTCAGGGTTTTTCAGTGAATTATGAGGGAATATTGAATTAATCCAAGACAAGAATCCAAGTCCCGGGCAAAGCCGGGTAGTGAAGCTAGTTACTAATAAACCCCAATGATCCTATCGAAATTACGGATTTCTATCGGATCGTTGGGGGGGCACGTGCCACCCCACCCCCACTGGCTCCACCACTGTCACACACTGGCATGGTTCACAGGTGGTGGTGTGTCCAGACCCACGCCTGGCCACCTTCACCTGCTCAGTATTAATGCTTCCTCACTCCACCAAGTAATTAATTGAGGATCAACCAACACAGCCGAGGCTGCCTGTCTCTCTGTGGTGAGATGTTAACTACCTGTCCTGGCATACAGGAAGTCGTGGGTTCGATCCCGACCCTGACACCTGCTGTATATTTGTAGTTTACGTGTGTCTCTCTCTCTCTCCCCGTGGTCGCGTGGATTTCCTTCCCGATCCCCGGGTTTCCCCTCCACATGTAGAGAGTGAACACCTCCACGCGTCTAGAGTGAACACCGCCACGCGTCTAGAGTGAACACCGCCACGCATCGAGAGTGAGCACCGCCACGCGTCTAGAGTGAACACCGCCACGTGTCTAGAGTGAACACCACCACACGTCTAGAGTGAACACCGCCATGTGTCTAGAGTGAACACCACTACGTGTCTAGAGCGAACACCGCCACATGTCTAGAGTGAACACCACCACGTATCTAGAGCGAACACCGCCACGTGTCTAGAGCGAACACCACCACGTGTCTAGAGCGAACACCACCACGTGTCTAGAGTGAACACCGCCACGCGTCTAGAGTGAACACCGCCACGTGTCTAGAGCGAACGCCACCACGTGTCTAGAGTGAACACCACCACGCTGTTGACGAGCCTCACCTTGTTGTTATTGTTGTTGTGGGCAGGTCGCTTCTGAAAACAAGAGCGTTACAGCAGCTCAAGCGGGCGTGGCCTGGTAAAAAATGAAAAAAAACTGTGAATATTTAAAACAAAACAAAGTTACAAAGTAGCGAGCCAGGTGAAGGGAATTAAAACTTAAGCAAGATACTATTTGGTTCTTTTGGTAAAGTCACGTAGAATAAATAAATACATTATATAATAGCATACGACGTTTCAACTGCAACACAAGCAATCATCATCAGGTACAAATGAAAGAGAAAAAAAACCTATTAAACTTAGAGTCAGCTAACATAACAGTCAACACCCTACCTGGTTAAAAACGTTCTTCCAAAGATTGCTCAATTTGAGAGAGAGACACGGAGACACATAGACAGACACATAAGCAGAGAGAGATGACACAAAGACACACAGAGAGAGACACACACATAGACACACAGAGAGAGATGACACAGAGACACAGAGAGAGACACACACAGACATGACAGACACACAGAGAGATACAGAGACACACACATAGGCACACAGAGAAACAACGCCTCTGTGTTGAGGCCTTAAATAGAGAGAGGGGGGGGGGGGGTAGAGAGAGGGGGGGTAGAAAAACTAGCACGTCAATGCAAGGCCGTAGCCATGGAGTCAACATTGGGGGGGACCAAATCTTCCCTGGGTCTGGGGTCCCCCCCCCCAGAAAAATATCTAAATTTGAAAACGATTTTCCTGCCATTTCCTCCCTAAAATATTTTTAAAAGTTCACTAGCACATGGGATGGACTTTGTTTTATTTGATACAATAATGTCTAATAGTGTATCGTAATACATTGCTCTGTTTTTTCTTTTTTACCGTTCTTGTTTCATAGTATGTAATGGCAGAGATTAGGGATTCATAAAGTACGACGCAATCCTATAAACAGGAATCTATGCATCTATATATATAAAATCGCAAATCTGTCTGTCTGTCTGTGTGTCGCCGGACCATACGCAGTTTCATTGGACGGCGGTTGCCCCTGGCAACGGGTAGCGACGCATTCGCTGCGGGGTGGACGCCATTTTTAATTCCCGTTAAAAATATGTGCACGCATTAACACGCGACTCTGAGGTAAATTCATCAAAGTTTCACGTCCTCTTCACTCCCCCCCCACCCCAATGTGTGCAATTACTATTATAGGGTCGGTAGATAATAAAATTATAGCGATTAGACAGTATTATTGTAGCGCGGGGGGGGGGGGGGGTTAACGGCCCCAGTACCCAGCCTCAGCCGGGTGGGCAATTTAGGCGAGGCCGGAGGCTCTGCACGGAACTAGGCCTCGACACCCCACCACACTATAGGCCGAGGAGATCCTGGCTGGGGGGGGGGGGCAGGAATAGCAGCCCATCTGTGTATATATGTAAGGTTTTTAAGAAATATATTTTTCACCCGGGCAAAGCCGGATACTTCCGCTAGTTGTTATATGAAGACAAGTCCAGATTTTGTGGCCAAGGTTTAGCAAATTGTTGTTTTTATTAACAGAGAATCGCAATTATTATTTACAAATATTTTTACAGCAATATATTGGAGGGGCATATTTGATTATTATAATTATTATAACATTATACTTATAACGTTATAATTAATATATATTATTATAATTATATATTAACAGGACCCTGCGGGGTGGGCTGGTAGGAATAATACTTAGTACCGGTACAGGGATATCGACCGGGTATAGAGGAGTTAAAGAAAAATTACTGTATTCTAGTGTAACGTTAATTATTAAAAGTGTTTGTTTTTTACAAGAAACGTTGTGAGATTTAAAGACTCGTAGTCTTTCATTTCCAAACGATCACATCTGAGATTAATTGACCTTAGATGGGGAAACTCGAATGCATTTACTAGTATAAAGGTGAAATAAAATAGAGGGAATAAACGGCACCTTGGTGCATTTTATGTCGTCTACATAGAGTTGAATAAACGGGCGTTTGCATATTCATATAACAGTACTACATTGAGCGGTGTTTGTTTGGCACTTCGAGTTTTTATTCGCGCGCACGACATGGATACCGAAAACAACCACGACTTTGAAGATCCCAATGGTTGTCTGGACGCCCACGTTGAAAGATGCTTGCTGAAACAGAGACCGCATTTGCTGCTGGAACCCTTTACAAACTCGCAGTGAAAAGCGTCGTTTCCATGGACCCAGAACCAACCGCAGTTGGTGCTGCTATAACGGTAGCATCGCCACCAAACATGCAGCCAGCAGCTAAATAATCAAAGATTGCAGCACATTTGGCGTGACAATGAAAAACTTTCAACACCCAGCTTGTCTGGTCAAACTATTTTATACCAGTATAAACTACTGATTATAGCGCGCGCCTGTCGTTAAAATGTAACTCTTACACGCGGCTACTCACGTTAATGTTAACGAAACGCGCGCACTTTATTTAATTTCAAGGTTTTAATCAAAAGCTATCTCAGGGAATAAGGGAATGTTACACGTGTCATGCCAAGTGTTTGCAGTAGGGGGCGATGTTGCTGCCAGGATAGCGTCACTGAGTCTAAAGGTTTTTGTAGGGTCATGCCAAGTATTTGCAGTAGGGGGCGATGTTGATACACGGAGGGACGGACGGACGGACGGACACAATAATCTATTGGTGGTCTGGTCCACTTCGTTCCTACCAGTATAATTATCATAACATATTATAATTATCATAACATTATAATTATTATAACATTATAATTAATATGTATTATGATTATTATAACATATTATAATTCTTATAACATATTATAATTACGGCCTTGTGTCAATGAGAGATTTGGAGGTTTGGTGACTGCAGAGAGAGAGAGAGCCACTTAATCAAACAAACTTGAAATGTAATGCAATGCAACACAGAGTCGGTCAACACACAACTAACGCATCGCCTGGCTGATTACGTTCTTCCACAGGTTGCTCAACTAAGCGAGAGAATTGAAGCAAACGCGACCAGGCGAGGGCAGGAGGCAAGGCCCCGCGTTGTAAAGTTCCAACGTGGACATCGCTTCCATGCTCGCTGCTACTCAATTGACATCCCTACGACAGAGAGAGCGAGGCTCTACCTCGGTACACAACAACAACCACCACAACCACCACAACCGCGATGAGAATCTCACCTCGGATAACAGTGCACGGGCCGAGCGGCAACTTCCTGGTCCCTCGTGACGTCACGCGGCAGCAAGTGACATGACGTCACTTGCGGTGTACGATGACATGCCCCTCCCCACAATGAGCGGCTCGAAACTCGCGACTTCACGAATAAATTATGTTAATAAGCCGCCAGTCACCGGGCTTGGCTTTGCCCAAATAAGGATTGGCACTGGGACATATCGGCAGCGGCCGAGCGGAGGTGACGTCACGCTCAAGAGCACGGTGGTCGGGGTAGGTGACATGACGTCACTAGCGAGGCACACCTCCCCCAGGCGTTTGACGCCGATGAGATCACGGCGCTGTGACGTCAGAGAGCGGCATCAGAGTTCAAGTTTGACAGAAGGGGAGCGGCAGTGACGTGGTGAGCGCTGCGCTCCGCACCGACCAGCCGAGTTCCATTCCCGCTAGTGGCCAACACCGCCAGTGACGACTTTCTGAGCCGGTCCTGAGCCTCCCCTACGTCGACTCAGCCTCAAACGAGTCCCCGGTGCGGTGTCAACATCGCTAGCACTGGGGAGACAAAGGCGGCCGGGCGTGGTGCTGGCCACCAACCCCCTCTGTGTGTGCCGTGACGACCTCCAATGGGTGCTACTCGCTGTGAGCAGCACTTTGTAGATGTCGTGGCTTGGCTCTCCAGCACACCGCTGGCGACATTTCACGATGACATTTTCACGTCCATGAAAAGAAAATCGCCATACGAACCTAGGCCGTTTTTTGGCAAAATCGATCCAATTTTTTTTAGCTTTTTTTGCAACGAAAAGTGCATTCCTTGGTTGTGTTTAGCCTGAGTAGCCCATATATTACGTTAAAAAGTGGGGAATTTCATGCATGAAATTTTCGAATATAAAAAAGTTAATCGGCATACTGTACCGTTTTTAGGCTCAATAAGCCAAACTTTTGACAGCTTTATTTTTGGACGAAAGTTAATTCCTCTATTGTATTCATCCTTAGTATGCCATGTATTTGATTAAAATGCCGTTTTTGGCATACTAACCTATGCCGTTTTTGGTCAATAATGGCCAAATTTTTACAGCTTCATTTTTCAACAAAAGTGCAATCCTCGGGTGTGCTTAGCCTTAGTATTCTATATATTACGTAAAAAAGTGGTAAATTTCACCATGAAATTTTAAAGTAAAAAAATTAAATCGGCCAAAATTGGCCACACTTTCACAGCCTTATTTGTCGACAAAGGTTCATTGCTCCATTGTATTTAGCCTTAGTATGCTATGTATTAGATTATAATTGGAAAATTTCACGATGAAATGTTCACGTCCCAAACAGAAAATCGACATACTAAACCTCTGCCGTTTTTAGCTAAAATTGAACGAATTTTTACAGCTGTATTTTTAAATAAAAAGTGCATTCCTCGGTTGTGTTGAGCATGATTAGCCTATATATTACATTAAAAGTGGGAAATTTGACCATGAATTTGAAGTAAAAAGATCAAATCGGCATACTTTACCAATGCCGTTCTTGGCCAAAATTTGCTACATTTCATAGCTAGATTTTCCAAGAAAAAGTGAATTCCTCCATTTTGTTAAGCATTAGTATGCTCTATATTACTTTAAAAGTGGGAAATTTCACGATTAAATTTTCACGCCCCAAAAATAAAATCGGGGATACTTATGCCGGTTTTAACCAAAATAAGCCAAATTTTCATAGCTTTCTTTTTCAACAAAAAGTTAATTCATCAATTGTATTTACCCTTAGTATGCTATGTATTAGATTAAAAGTGAAACATTTTATGATGAAATGTGCACGTCCCAATATAGAAAATCGGCATACTAACCTATGCCGTTGTTGGCCAATAATGGCCAAATTTTTACACCTTCATTTTTCAACAAAAGTGCAATCCTCGGGTGTGCTTAGGCTTAGTATCCTATATATTACGATAAAAGGTGGGAAATTTCACGCCGGGTACTTCCCGCGAGTACTCTTATATAAGCGCACCTCATCTATCTGTGATGAACGCTGCACTTTCCTTAGTTTTCATGCAGGGGGCGCTGCAAACCTACGCGCCCCCTGCATGAACGACGGAGGAGCAGGGACAGACGTTCAATCGCGTTGGAATCGATCTGCAGACGGCGGTCTTCTGGCACGGCCAGCTCTATGTCGCCTTATCTCCACCCCGCGATCCCAACCAGGTGAAAGTCCGCATCAAACCGAACCCCGGTAAGGCCATCTAGTTAACGACAAAGATAATTCACGCGAAATGTTGTTTTCAATTAAGTCTTCCAGATGTAAAATGATATAATACAATTATCTAATTAAAAACATAATACAATTCAAAGTTGTTTCATTTTAAAACTTCAAAACGGAGCATCGGGAGTTTGCGTGAATGCGTCGTTCGTGTGCAATTTTCTTCGTGACTTTCCTGGCCGAAAGCCATAAATGGTTGTGAGGGGCACCGCAGGCAGTCAGGCTTGCTTCAACTCCATGGTTGTCAACATCCAGACGTTTATCGGCAAGGACCATTTCTTGTCCTAGTTCGCCAACATATAAGACGTCATGCAAAATTCTAATGAGTGTTGTTGTGGAGAATGTATCTACTAGATGTGCTCTGCCTTGTAACCAAATACAAATCTCTACCAAAAATGCATTTCAAATAGGCTCTTAGAATTACCTCCTTGCTATGAAGCAGATCAGCAGACACGACATCTTTCATTTATCGATCTCTCCACGAAACAAATGAATGTTTTACACAAACTATAACTAGCACGGACTTCTGGGAGTGCGTCAATGATTCAGTGCAAGCCACCTGTGGACCCTTATTGGTGCACAGCGTCTCAACAGCAGCCGGGCTTGTTTCAACCGATAGTTACGGACATCCAGACGTTAATCAGCAAGGAGCATTTCTAGACCGAGTTAGACAAAATCTACGTCAACACGTAATGCAAAATTATAATTCGTGTTATAAAGAATGTACCTCCTCTAGGTGTAACTTTTAAGTGGTTTGCCTTGTAACTGATGAATGATCCGAGTGTGCTCCCTATTTCAAAGACAATGAGTTGCTCCAGAGGGAGATGCTTCGTGAAACCACAAAAGTACCCTTTGACCTGTATCACAAGAACAATGAGTCTCACCTGAGTGATCTGTACAGGTTACTCTAAAAACACACACTTTGTCCTAACATCACTTAATCAATGTTTGACCCTTGTAGACAAAATGTTACATGTACGCACACAATCGGACAAGTATTCATTCTAAATTATTGACAATCATTTTTACGAAGTTAAATTACTGCATTGAAATATGCTGCATCAGGTTACATCGTATTAACAAGATAAACAAAAAACACTGTCTGCTTAATAGTGTATGTACAACATACTATTGTGTCATTCAAAACGAGTCGGCCATTGCATGCTGGCGTCTGGGTCAAAATTGAGCAAATTCTAAACATTACCTACAAACTCCACAACTGAGATGCCACATCAACCATCACCCCCTACTCACAGGCTCTTGTCCACATGCAGGCCGGTGCAGGGCCACTACCTTGTACCACACAGGGGCAGCTGCTACTTGGGGATGCTCGTGGAGTGTTTGAGACGAGATACGATACAAAACTCCGAGTTGCCGAGGCAATTAAGCAAGCACCATATAAATGCAATTATGATAACATAGTGAATGCTTGGGAGCTTATTGGCTCTAGCTCCTGGTTAGAGGTCTACCCAACACACAGGTCCACAAAGACTGGCCGCTCTTACCCTGCAAGGTTGAACCTAGGAACCGAGTGTTTAACTTCATATTATTGTCATTAAAGGCCTGTGACAAAGGTGCATCTATTGGAGCGACATCGTCTCAGGCTTACACATCTACCGGGTCTCCATTTGACTTTGTATTGTCTCGGAGGAAGTCCACCACACCTCCACTTCCACAAACTGCTGGGAGTTGCCTCGCTCTGCCTCACAGTCAGAATTCTCCTCCTGCTTCACGTTGCCTCCATCGATGCGAAGGTCCCATTTCGGAGTTGAATCTTCATCCTCACATTTTACCTTCACTTCTTCGCTCTTCACCATCACTTCTTCACGTTTCACCTTCACCTCTTCATATTTCACCTCGATACCTTTAAAAGTGTCCAAGCTGGGATTTTCTTCCGGTTCTTGTTTGATGAGGGATGGGCTCATTGCAGCACTTTGACTTTCACAAGCTGATTTCACACTCCGCTCCTGGTGGATATTCTGATGCTTGTGTGTTCTCTGGTGTCTTTAAAGATGTGCTGACTGAGCAAACGCCTTCCCGCACAGAATGCACTTGAAGGGTTTCTCTCCCGTGTGTGTTCTCTGGTGTGCTATAAGAGAAGATGCATTTATAAACGACTTCCCACACACACTGCACTTGAAGGGTTTCTCTCCCGTGTGTGTTCTCTGGTGTGTTATAAGAGACGTGGAATGTGCAAACGCTTCCCACAGACACTGCACTTGAAGGGTTTCTCTCCCCTGTGTGTTCTCTGGTGTATTACAAGAGTAGATGACTCTGCAAACGTCTTCCCACACACACTGCACTTGAAGGGTTTTTCTCCCGTGTGTGTTCTCTGGTGTTCTACAAGAGTAGATGAACGTGCAAACGCCTTCCCACACACACTGCACTTGAAGGGTTTCTCTCCCGTGTGTGTTGTCTGGTGTGCTACAAGAGCAGATGACTGTGCAAACGCCTTCCCACACACACTGCACTTGAAGGGTTTCTCTCCCGTGTGTGTTCTCTGGTGTGTTACAAGAGCAGATGACTGTGGAAACGCCTTCCCACACACACTGCACTTGAAGGGTTTCTCTCCTGTGTGTGTTCTCTGGTGTACATGAAGAGTTGATGAATCTGAAAATGCCTTTTCACACACAGTGCACTTGAAGGGTTTCTCTCCTGTGTGTGTTCTCTGGTGTATCACAAGAGTAGATGAATGTGAAAATGCCTTCCCACACACACTGCACTTGAAGGGTTTCTCTCCTGTGTGTGTTCTCTGGTGTATTACAAGAGTAGATGAATGTGAAAATGCCTTCCCACACACACTGCACTTGAAGGGTTTCTCTCCTGTGCGAGTTCTCTGGTGTTTTGTAAAATGTTCAGGACGATCCGTGCTGTATGCACACCGGTCGCATTGTTGCCTTTTTGCACCGAGCCGCGCCGAGTGCCTTTGCTCCATCAGACCACTTCTGCAGAGGCAGCGACAGCTGCAGACAGAAACAAAGAATATCCACACCATCTACACATCAGTATCGAGGCACAGAGGAATGCATATATACACAGTCACACGTGACTTACACGTCTATACTTATTCATATATTTATGATATAGTAAAAAAAAGTGTCCCAAATTCATCACACGGGCTGTTATGGCACACAATGAGAGGCCAAATGGTTATAAACGTGCCTGGAAGCCCTTGTATCTTCAAAATGAACGTTAACCCAAAACTCAGAGCACACAATTTCAGCGGTCTGGCTTCTAAATAAATGTTTATGAAAGCTAAATTCAGCTGACATAGCAAAGGGTGTTGAAAATAATACTATTTGTGTTATGCACAAATGCATCAATTAATGTTCAATCACAACTTAGAGGTGTGATGCCAGGCACAGATGTCCTTGATTGCTGGGATGAGCAGTTCCGACTTCAGCTGCTGCACGTGTGTGCTGTGATCACTTCCTGACTCCATTCTTACAAAGCGTTCCAGAGGAAAACTAAAATAAACTACTGTTTTGATATAACCTCTGTGCTCAATAGAGTTAATAGCCTTTACTGCAAATACAAACTTGACACTGTCACACACTCAGAGGTGGAGCCAGGATTTTCAGGTAGGGGGGGGGGGAAACCCCTCCAGCAATGAAAAATTACAGGAGTTGTTAGTAAGTAAGGAGTTGTTAGTGAGAAAGGAGTTGTTAGTAAGAAAGGACTTGTCCCTTGCTTTTCATTCGACGCGTGTGATCGTCATAGCGCTCGCTGAACGTGTTGATGCCTTCAGGAAAGAAAAATAGACTTTTGTATTTTGGGGGGGGTGGGGGGGAAATGACCATGACGTATGTGGCATCAATCCGCATCACACCTGAGCTAAGGGCTCTGCAATGCTTACCCCCCTACCACATGGCTCTTCGCGCGCCGTACTTCTACAGCTGTTCACAGCGTGCCGGGAGATTTTAGGTGGCGCTTCGCTCCTGGCCGATTAAGTCATTGGCTTCTCGGAGTTTCAATACAAATCCGTGTGAAGAACGGGTACAACTGCCATCTTAAATATAAAGCAAAACTTACATGTTTATTTGTGTGAAGCAGCAAAAACTCTCCAACGATGAGCTCTGGCGTCATGAAATTTTCACAGCTTATGCTGTCTGGAATTTCTAAGCGAACGCCACGTCATTCCCTTCCCGAGTGGCAAAACTCGACCTGACGTAGCAGTGGGTTCAGGTTGAATTTCCTTGAGTGAAAACATCCGATTTTGGTAAATTGAAGTGTTTCGGCTTCCTTCTTGCAAGCATCAATTTTTTCAGGGTTTTTCCGTGAATTATGGGGGAATATTAAATTAATCCAAGACAAGAATCCAAGTCCCAGGCAAAGCCGGGTAGTGAAGCTAGTTACTAATAAACCCCAATGATCCTATCGAAATTAGGGATTTCGATCGGACCGTTGCTGGGGCACGTGCCACCCCACCCCCACTGGCTCCACCACTGTCACGCACTGGCATGGTTCACAGGTGGTGGTGTGTCCAGACCCATGCCTGGCCACCTTCACCTGCTCAATATTAATGCTTCCTCACTCCACCAAGTAATTCATTGAGGATCAACCAACACAGCCGAGGCTGCGTGTCTCTCTCTCTCCGTGGTGAGATGTTAACTACCTCTCCTGGCATACAGGAAGTCATGGGTTCGATCCCAGCCCTGACGCCTGCTGTATATTTGGAGTTTGCGTGCCTCTCTCTCTCTCCCCGTGGTCGCGTCGATTTCCCTCCGTGTCCCCCGGTTGTCCCCACTCCACATGCAGCGAGTGAACACCGCCACGTGTCCAGAGTGAACACCGCCACGCGTCTAGAGTGAACACCGCCACGTGTCTAGAGTGAACACCACCACGCTGTTGACGAGCCTCACCTTGTTGTTATTGTTGTTGTGGGCAGGTCGCTTCTGAAAACAAGAGCGGTACAGCAGCTCAAGCGGGCGTGGCCTCGTAAAAAATGAAAAAAAACTGTGAATATTTAAAACAAAACAAGGTACAAAGTAGCGAGCCAGGTGAAGGGAAATTAAAACTTAAGCAAGATACTCTTTGGTTCTTTCGGTAAAGTCACGTAGAATAAATAAAAACATTATATAATAGCATACGACGTTTCAACTGCAACACAAGCAATCATCATCAGGTACAAATGAAAGAGAAAAAAAACCTATTAAACTTAGAGTCAGCTAACATAACAGTCAATACCCTACCTGGTTGATAACGTTCTTCCAAAGATTGCTCAATTTGAGAGAGAGACACAGAGACACATAGACAGACACATAAGCAGAGAGAGATGACACAAAGACACACAGAGAGAGACACACATATAGACACACAGAGAGAGATGACAGAGAGACACACATAGGCACACAGAGAAACAACGCCTCTGTGTTGAGGCCTTAAATAGAGAGAGAGGGGGGGGTAGAGAAGGGGGTAGAGAAACTAGCACGTCAATGCAAGGCCGTAGCCATGGAGTCAACATTGGGGGGGACCAAATCTTCCACGGGTCTGGGTTCCCCCCCCCCCGAAAAATATCTAAATTAGAAAACTAATTTCCTGCCATTTCCTCCCTAAAATATTTTTAAAAGTTCACTAACACATGGGATGGACTTTGTTTTATTTGATACAATAATGTCTAATAGTGTATTGTAATACATTGCTCTGTTTTTTCTTTTTTACCTTTCTTGTTTCATAGTATGTAATGGCAGAGATTAGGGAGTCATAAAGTACAACGCAATCCTATAAACAGGAATCTATGCATTGTTATATGAAAACAAGTCCAGATTTCGTGGCCAAGGTTTAGCAAATTGTTGTCTTTATTAACAGAACATCGCAATTTTTATTTACAAATATTTTTACAGAAACATATTGGGGGGGCATATTTGATTACTTAGTATAACATTATAACATTATAATTATAACATATACTTATTATAACATTATAATTAATATAATATGTCATAATAATATAATTATTATGACATATTATACTTATTATAACATTATAATTATTATATATTAATATAATAATTATGACATATTATACTTATTATAACATTATAATTATTATATATTACAACATAATATTATACTTATTATAACATGTTGTAATGATGGCCTTGTGTCAATGAGAGACTTGGAGGTTTGGTGACTGCACAGAGAGAGAGAGAGAGCAAACTTAATCAAACAAACTTCGTAAAATTTGGAAAAGTAATGCAATGCAACAGAGTCGGTCAACACACAATTAACGCATAGCCTGGCTGATTGCGTTCTTCCACAGATTGCTCAATTTGAGAGAGAGACATAACACAGATACGGAGACGGAGACACAGACAGAGAGAGAGAGATAACAGAGACACACAGAGAGAGACACACACAGACACAGAGAGACACACACAGAGACACACACAGAGAGAGATGACACAGAGAGAGACACAGACATATAATTATTTTATATTATAATTATTAAAACATATTATAATTACGGCCTTGTGTCAATGAGAGATTTGGAGGGTTGGTGACTGCACAGAGAGAGACGCTTAATCAAACAAATTAAAAAAGTAATGTAATGCAACACAGAGTCGGTCAACACACCAACTAACGTACTCTTAGGTTTTTTTCGGTAAAGTCACCACGTAGGTAAAAAATGAAATTAAAATTAATAAAAGTAAAAATAGAAATAAAATAATAAAATAATAATAAATCACGCCTCACTTGATGCAGCAAATTATAGTCACCCAGCTTAATAACCAGGCTACAGTCTACATTATAGACTGCCAGTACACTCACCCAGCTTAATAACCAGGCTACAGTCTACATTATAGACTGCCAGTACACTCACCCAGCTCAATAACCAGGCTACAGTCTACATTATAGACTGCCAGTACACTCACCCAGCTTAATAACCAGGCTACAGTCTACATTATAGACTGCCAGTACACTCACCCAGCTTAATAACCAGGCTACAGTCTGCATTATAGACTGCAAGTACACTCACCCAGCTTAATAACCAGGCTACAGTCTGCATTATAGACTGCCAGTACACTCACCCAGCTTAATAACCAGGCTACAGTCTACATTAAAGACTGGCAGTACACTCACCCAGCTTAATAACCAGGCTACAGTCTACATTATAGACTGTCAGTGCACTCACCCAGCTTAATAACCAGGCTACAGTCTGCATTATAGACTGCCAATACACTCACCCAGCTTAATAACCAGGCTACAGTCTACATTATAGACTGCCAGTACACTCACCCAGCTTAATAACCAGGCTACAGTCTACATTATAGACTGCCAGTACACTCACCCAGCTTAATAACCAGGCTACAGTCTGCATTATAGACTGCAAGTACACTCACCCAGCTTAATAACCAGGCTACAGTCTACATTATAGACTGCCAGTACACTCACCCAGCTTAATAACCAGGCTACAGTCTACATTATAGACTGCCATTACACTCACCCAGCTTAATAACCAGGCTACAGTCTGCATTATAGACTGCCAGTACACTCACCCAGCTTAATAACCAGGCTACAGTCTGCATTATAGACTGCCAGTACACTCACCCAGCTTAATAACCAGGCTACAGTCTACATTATAGACTGCCAGTACACTCACCCAGCTTAATAACCAGGCTACAGTCTACATTATAGATTAAATTAATAAAAACGCCTCACTTGATACAGCAAATGTGGCTGTGACGGTGCCACCTGATGACAGAGACTTGTGTTGCCTCCGAAACGTCGTGTTTTTTTTATTTATTTCTATTTTTACTTTTATGAATTTGTATTCATTTTTCACCTACACGATGACTTTACCGAAAAAAACCTAAGAGTATGAATCCTTGCAGTCACGAAAGCGTCACATCTCGAGTTAACACAACTAACGCATCGCCTGGCTGATCGCGTTCTTCCACAGGTTGCTAAACTATCTTCTTGGTTCTTTCGGTAAAGTCACGTAGAATGGAAATAATGAAATAATAAAAATATTAAACATATTAGTTTTACTATTTTATTATTTCCATTCTACGTGATATAAAACATATTAAAAGGTTATTATGTTTTATTTTTATTATTTTATTGGTTTATGTTTATTATTTTATTATATCCATTCTACGTGTAGGGCTGTTACAGAGGGTCTGTTGTGTAGGGCTGGTTGCATAGGGGCTAACGGAAAACAGACACAGTGGGCGGGGTCTCCGTGAGCACACGGGGTGGTGCCCGCAACGACGTCCGTACTGGACGGCGTGAGGGGGGTTTCGATCCTCTAGGGGGGTATAAAAAGGGTTGAGCCAGAGAGCTCGGGGCTCAGTCTTAGAGTAGTTAAGTGAAGAGAGAAGACCGGCCAGATAGGCCCTGGACTCCCCCTGGGACGCCGCCCTTGTAAGGGCAGTGCAGGCTGGAGCCAGTGGCGTGGTCCCGGAACCAGAGTCAGACCTCTGGGATTCCGGGTACCGTAGCCCGACTGACCAGTGTCGGGCCAGACAGCCTCCCCTAGCCCGTTAGCGGAGGACTCGGCTAGGAAGGCTAGCTAGGGGTGAATTCCCAGTTGTACGGGTGAGGGGGCCGATACATCCCTCCAGTATTGTAAAGCCATTGTGTAAATAAATACGTGTGCCTTACCCCGTTGTCCACGCGTCGTCAAGAACACTTCATACGTGATATAAAACATAATAAAATTGTATTGTTTTTTTTTTGTATTTCTATTCTACGTGACTTTACCGAAAGAACCAAGAAGATGAATCACTGCAGTCACGAAAGCTTTAAATCGAAATTGCTAAACTAAGCGAGAGAATTGAAGCGAACGCCATCAGGCGAGGGCAGGAGGCAAGGCCCCGCGTTGTAAGTTCCAACGTGGACATCGCTTCCATGCTCGCTGCTACTCAATTGACATCCCTACGAGAGAGAGAGCGAGGATCTACCTCGGTAAACAACAACCACAACAACAACCACCACAACAACAACCACCACAACAACAACCACCACAACCTGCGATGAGAATTTCTCACTTCAGATTTCAGTTCCCGCGCGGAGCGTCAACTTTCCGTTACCTCGTGACGTCACGCGGCAGCAGCAGGTGACATGACGTCACTTGTGGGGTACAAGACACTCCCTTCCCACAATGAGCGGCTCTGTAACTTACATAAATTATGTTAATGAGCCTGGCCCAATCGTGGAGGGATGGGCCGTTGGTGCCGAACCGGTCACAACGAACTCGTGACGTCTTTCACGAATAAATTATGTTAATGAGCCGCCAGTCAGTGGGCGTGGCTTTGCCCAAATAAGGATAGTGCTTGAACAGATAACGGAAGTGACCCAGGCAGAGGTGACGTCACGCTCCCTTGAGACCGGTTGGGGTGAAATCTTTGGTGACATGACGTCACTAGCAAGGTACACCTCCCCCTGGCGTTTCACGCCGATGAGGTCATGCTGAGTGGTGACGTCACGTAGCGGGATTAGAGTTTAAGTTGATTAAGATTTATTTTCCATTGCTCCCTCCCTTGAACAGAGACCCCTTGGGTGTGTGAGCTCAGCTCAACAATGTGGACATTATTGTGTGTGTACACTGTGTACATTGTGTGTGTGTGTACACTGCGTGTGTACATTGTGTGTACACACTGTGTGTGTGTACACTGTGTACATTGTGTGTGTACACACTGTGTGTGTGTACACTGTGTGTGTGTACATTGTGTGTACACTGTGTGATGGCTGTGTGTATGGAATTTATGTGGTTGAGGAATTGGTCTCGAGCAGGCCGGCCATGTGGCCAGATGACAAAAGTGGCATCTACGTACCTCTTCCACAAAGTCGGGCGTAGAGTGGCAGTCTGGATGGCGTCAGTCTCAAATTTCTCCATGAAGACGTTGGCTACAACCGGAGATAGGGGGGAGCCCATTGGGGTGCCCTCAGTTTGCTTGTAAAAAGTTCCATTCCAGGTGAAGTATGTATTGGTTAAGCAGTGTCTCACCAGGGGGGGTACCCCAGCATTCAGT